CGAATTAATCAAACCAACTGGGGATTGAAGCCAAGACCTTATAAATAGAATACAAAGACACTATCTTCTCGACCAGCAGACAGCTCACCAAAGTGTTTTTCATTTCCCTTATACACGACATGACACAATCCATCTTGGAAAGTCCAATGCAGGCCTCTGACCTTGCTCATCTCAGCATTAGTATTTAGGATTAGGATGCTGTTGGAAAATTTTTAGCCGATTGAATGCTACATGAGCGTCAGGTAAGTCATTGATCCGATCATGCGCAAGACCCTTTATCCCCACATTCGTGTCAGATCAGCTGATCATGCGTCGTTTTGAACAATCTCACAAAATGTTTGTTGATTTCGCCAAAACTATTCAACTGACATCCGATTTGCTATTGTCAGTCTCTTTTACAAATATTACTGGCTGGTTGTTCATCTAGAAAATGCCTCTGCATCAAGCAAACAATCAGACTTCTTGATTTTTCCCAATGAAAAATCTTCAGTCTGCTCAGTTTTATTCGGTTTTCAGAACCAACGGGAATGAAGGTCCATGCAACAGCCCACCTAAACCCTAAATAAAATTATCCTTTTGGTTTCAATTTCATTGCATTCAATTCAATAAGATTGGTAATGATGAACACTCAATTGAGGGAATTTTCCCCTATCTTCTGTCATTTACTCAGCATCTCTCGGTGCCAGTCCATCGGCTACCTGTGGTATCCGTCGAACGTTCAGCAGTAACGGTAATTCCACGCACACGGCACCTCCGGCTCCCTTCAGCGATGGATCCCCGTTTTGGTCTCCTCGTTCTCCACATTCCATTGGCCCCGGGTCTGTTGCTCTGGCTCAATTCGGCGGCTATCCACCGACTTCGGGTAGCACACCAACCAGCGGTGGTAGTCATCCAAGCAGTGCGGCTGGTAGAGAACCTGGTGCTTTTGGTCCTCTCCCATTGTCCCCGACAATGGCACTCGGTGTTCCGGAATCGGGGCCCACCAAACCGAATCCTTCCATGATGA